CGCCCTCTCTTCTCCTCATGTGCGCAGGTCGTCGTGCTCGTGCTGGGCGTCGCCGCGGTATTCCTCGAGCACATCCGCAAGATCGGATGCATGCACTCGTAAGCCTCCTCTGTACTCCCCTCTTCTCTCTCTTGGGATCTGGCCCTCTCCGTCGTTGACTGGTCCGCCGTTCGGATTCGGCCGCAGGATTGAGAGGACCGCCGTCTCGGACGCCTTCTTCGAGGACCCTGGCTCGCTCAAGAAGGTGCTGATTGCTCGTACGAATTGTTTGTGCTGTGGCACGGTGTGCACGCTAGGTGTTTGCTCATTTGCTTGTGCTGCCTGTCGTAGGTTCCCTGCCCGTCGATTTTTGACCCTGCCGAGAAGTACATTTCGTTGATCGTTCCTGCTTACAACGAGGAGTGTCGGCTCCCGGAGGCTCTTACAGAGACGCTCAAGTAAGGCCCTGATACCAGCATTCGTTGCTCTGTCAAGTTTCTTATCTTTGAACAGTACTGTGCAGTTTATACAACCAGTTGCCTGTATGTAACTGCAGCTTCATCTGATAGGCGATTGCTTGATACGCTATGTTAATCACTGTATTTCTTTTCTTTCTTTCTCCATTAGCTACCTGAAACAACGCTCATCTGCCGACAAGTCATTTACTTATGAGGTATGTGAGAATTGAACATGTTCATCATCTTTATTTGATATGATAAATTTGGATGGTGCAAGCTACTTCTGCAAGCGGAACTAACTTGGATTTATTTAGAAGATTATGCATTTTAGTATAACGTTCTTCATTTGTACTTAGTTTGTTTTGTTTTGTTTTGGTCTAAACACGAATGTCATTTCCGCTCCTAAATTCTGGATACCTATAGCCCCCTCCCCTCTCCAGATATGAAAATTGCCTGCAATGGAGTTTGACCCGATCTTTAGTATAGTGAGTAGAATATGACTGTATTGCAGAACTTGAATTGCTATAGTTTTTTTCTGATGAACTATTCATTTGGTTGTAAAACCAAACTAAAGACCTGGATCTAGGATTACAGAGTTAGATTTACATCCGCTGTTAGTGTTTAGAAAGGCCCTGACAAAGCTGCATAAATTTTCCCAGAGCTACATCGTATTAGCTTCTGAATATTCATCACTTGTCCTTTATGTATTGTCCCATGTGATATTCATAATTATGCTCTATGCACCTCTGATCTTGGTAGCTATGCCGTTGTGAGATCCACAACTAATTCACATTAAAAATGTAAGTTATGAATAACGCCTCACTGAATCCAGTAGATGGGTTGATGAGACCTAAATAGAATCTGAGCTGCCTTTGCAATGGTGCAGAATTCAGTCAAGCATACCTATCTACTACACGTGCTATTCGAAATCTTGTTATCATTGTCATTTGCATCGTTTTGTATTGACCGAGGCTGATATTTAGCATTTTGTGGCACGTCTTATATAATCCTGTATCTGTTTAGCACAATTTGAAGGTTTAATATATGTTATTTTCTTGGTCTTATTCAGGTATTGATTGTCGATGATGGAAGTACTGACCGTACCTCAAAAGTTGCCTTTGAGTATGTAAAGAAGCACAACATTGACAATGTTCGAGTTCTTCTACTTGGAAGGAACCATGGGAAAGGTGAAGCCGTCAGAAAAGTGAGTGTTGAACTACCCACCCACACACTAGTTTCAACAAATCAACTCTAATTGATGCTTTCCAATTATTTGTGGAAGCATTGTCTAGGGGATGCTCCATTCCAGGGGTCAACTCCTACTCATGCTTGATGCTGATGGTGCAACTAAGGTCACTGATTTGGCAAAGCTTGAAGCTGAGGTCCGTCAGACGCTCAATCCAATACCATGTTGTTGGGCTTGTTTTGATTGTGATGAGCATAATATCTTGATTTTTGATTTTTTTTTGCTGTTAGGTTCTTGCATTGGCGGGGAAAGCACTCTCTGCTAGTTCATCCCAGAGGCTATCTGATGTTGAAATTGCTGTTTTTGGTTCCCGTGCTCATCTGGAGAAGCAGGCTCTTGCCACGGTACATCTCCTGAAATCCATCATTTTTTATTCTGTTTCCTAGTCTCTTAGGTTCCTCCCTTATGCTGTATATGCTTTTCCTGGTTTACTGCAGAGGAAATGGTACCGGAACTTCCTTATGAAAGGTTTCCACTTGGTAGTACTGTTGACCGCTGGTCCTGGAATCAGAGATACACAGGTATGCTTTGGCCAACATAAGATGCGCTGATGATTCCTATTTGCGTTTTTTCTTCTTCTCGGGAGGCATGCTATTTATTCGCTTCATTTGCTTGATTATTACAAATCCCAGTGTGGCTTCAAGATGTTCACTCGATCTGCTGCAAGGAAACTCTTTACAAACATCAGACTTAAGAGGTATTTTTTTTTTCTGAAAGGGAAAATCCCACGATACTATCTAGTATATAATACAATAATCTTGCAAGGAATAAATCTGGATGTTCATTCTGCCCTACTTACTGCATGGCCAGGTGGTGTTTTGATGTTGAGATTGTGTACCTATGCAAGCACCTGAGGATCCCGATGGCAGAAGTATCTGTCAGCTGGACGGAGATACCTGGGTCCAAAGTGCGCATGACAAGCATCCTGCACATGGTGTTTGAGCTCCTGCTGATCAGAGTAGGCTATGGGCTGGGCATATGGAAAATTTACTCATAGACCCTGTCCTGGGTAACTCATTAGAGCTTAGGTCTCGATCGCTTCAGCGTATACACCAAACTTAGTTCGTCACTTTGAAACACAGCTACCAAATTAGTTCAAGGAGCATTGTAAAACTTTTTGAGATTTTCGACTGGAGAGAAGAATCCAGTTCGAAGTGTATGTTGGTGTTTGATCATAGCAAGATCTTGACATATGCTCACAGCTCACATGTATTTTTGCTCCTTCTGATAAATTCTCTGATATTTTTGCTGTCTTTTGTTTTTATCACAAATGGCACATGTTTCTCTTAACTGAAGAAAAGCAGCTTGTCTCTTCAGACAGTCTGACAAAATTGTTAACTTATTAATCAAAACGACCAGAGAAGATTATGGTGGTTTCTGTGCAAAATATCGCAATTCGCCTGGCTAAATTTCGAAAGTTGCCAGTTCTGCTTGCATTGTGCACGGCTTCGCTTCAGAACGCACATGTTTGCGCCGTAGAGGAACCAGTTTGAGCTCGAGCGCAAGCAGCGAAGGTCAAAACCCGCAGGACCCACGGCTCGCCTGCAATGCGTTCGAGCAAATGCCGCCCCGGCCCCCGCTCCGCTCGCCTCCGAGCCGCGGTCCTTACACCACCGCGCCGCCGTCGCCGCCGCGCGCGGCCGAGCAGCACTGCCTCCGCCTCCTGAAGCGCGCCACGACGCCGGCGTCGCTCCTCCAGCCCCTGGCATTCCTCCTCAAGTGCGGCCTCCACTCCAACCCGCTCGTCCTCACCAGGCTCTTCGCGGCCGCGGCCTCCGCCGCGCCCGCGCTCCTCGAGCCCCTCGTCGCGGCGCTCCTCCGCCCTGGCCTCCCGCTCGACGCCTTCCTCCTCAACACCCTCATCCGCGCCCACGTCGCGTCCCCGCTCCCCTCCGCGCGCCGCAGCGCCGCGGCCTTCTTTCCGCTCATGCTCCGCCGCGGCGTCGCCCCCAACAAGTTCACCTTCCCGTTCCTCCTCAAGTCCTGCGCGGCGACGCCGGGGTCCCCGGACGCCGGCCTCCAGGCCCACGCCGCCGCCCTCAAGTTCGGGTTCGCCGCCGACCACTACGTCTCCAACACGCTCATACACATGTACTCCTGCTTCGGGGCCGGGTTCCTCGGGGACGCTCGGAACGTGTTCGACAGAACGCCCAAGGACAGCGCCGTCACCTGGAGCGCCATGATGGGGGGGTACGTGCGTGGCGGGCTGTCGAGTGATGCCGTCGTGCTGTTCCGGGAGATGCAGGCCAGTGGTGTGCGACCCAATGAGGTGACGGTGATTGGGGTCCTTTCGGCCGCCGCTGATTTGGGCGCGCTCGAGCTCACGCGCTGGGTTGAGCGGTTTGTGGAGATGGAGGGAATTGGGAGGTCTGTGACGCTTTGCAATGCGCTGATCGACACGCTCGCCAAGTGCGGGGATGTCGATGGGGCAGTGGCTGTGTTCGAGGGGATGGAGGAGCGGACTGTTGTGTCATGGACGTCGGTGATTGATGCGCTTGCGATGGAGGGTCGTGGGAAAGAGGCTGTGGCGGTGTTCGAAGAAATGAAGGCTGTTGGAGTGCCACCTGATGATGTCGCATTCATTGGGGTGCTCACTGCATGTAGCCATGCTGGAATGGTTGATGAAGGCCGTGGCTACTTTCACTCAATGAAGACAGAGCATGGTATTGAGCCTAAGATTGAGCATTATGGTTGTATGGTTGACATGTTTGGTCGTGCTGGCATGGTCGAGAAGGGGTTGGAGTTTGTCCGTGCGATGCCCATGAAACCAAACCTAATAATTTGGCGGACTCTGGTTGCTGCTTGTCGTGCTCATGGTCGGCTCGAGCTTGGCGAAAGTATCAGCAGGGACCTTCTCAACGAGTACCCAGCTGATGAGGCCAACTACGTCATGCTCTCCAACGTGTTCGCGTTGACGCAGAGATGGAAGGAGAAGTCAGAGATTAGGAGAGAGATGAGTAAGAGAGGAATTACGAAGGTGCCAGGCTGCAGCATTGTTGAGCTTGATGGTGAGGTCCATGAGTTCATAGCAGGAGATGAGTCGCATCCGCAGTACAAGGAGATATACAGGATGGTTGAGGAGATGTCAAGAGAGCTAAGGCGCATTGGGCATATTGCAGCTACATCAGAGGTCCTCCTTGACCTCGATGAGGAGGACGAGGGTGCGCTTCAGTGGCACAGCGAGAAGCTGGCGATTGCATTTGTGCTCCTGAGGACTCCTCCTGGAACACAGGTCCGGGTGGTAAAAAACCTACGTGTATGCTCCGATTGTCATGCGGCGATTAAGTGCATATCGCAGGTTTATAACCGGGAGATCATAGTGCGTGATAGGAGCCGTTTCCATCGCTTCAAGGATGGTTCCTGCTCGTGCAAGGATTTCTGGTGATTGCAATTGTGTTTCACCAGGTTATCCTGTTTCTGATGGTGCAGTGAAGGGTGGATTGAACTTCAACGGCACGTGCAGGCGATCGTGAACTCATGATGTATTTTCGAGGAACTTCTGCAAGTCCTCGAGGTTTGCCAATTTATATGTAATACAAAGCTTTCAGTGGCCAAAAACTGATGTTTACTGAAGATTACTGGAAGTAGCACTGAAACATATAAACATTCAGACACTTTATCTTGTGTACTGAATGTCTCACCAGTACACATTTAAGGGCTAAGATTTCTTACAAGAACCTAGACTATTTTGCAAACATATCTAATGCGTCCCGAGTTTGCATCTTGTTCGAATCATGTAACCAATCTAAACTTTTGAAGATACCATTCTCTATGCATAGACAAACTTCATGACATGTATATATGATAACAGTATGATGCCTTTTGTTCATGCAGGGGCAGATAAATGTGTCTCCAAATCTTGTGCTCTCTCAGTGGCCTCTCTGAGTTTCTTTGGCACTGTTCTAAGCCTTGTGTACTGAATGTCTCATCAGCACACATTCAAGGACTAAGATTTCCTACAAAAACCTAGACCATCGTGAGAACATTTCTAATGTGTACCCCAGCTTGCATCATGTACGAATCATCTAATTAATCCAAACTTTTGAAGATACCGTTCTATGCATAGACAAACTTCATGACATGTATATATGATAATAGTATGATGCCTTTTGTTCATGCAGGGGCAGATAAATGCATGTCTTCTGCTCTCTCAGTGGCCTCCCTGAGTTTCTTTGGCACTATTCTAAGCCTTTCCTCAACTATCTCATTCCCCATTGCTTCTTCATTCATGCAGTGAGTTTGTAACTTACTATGCATCTATGAACTGTCTGCCACCAATGCTTTGAAGCTTTCCCTGTTCTTGTACGCCCTTGCCTTCTCATTATTGCAGGGAGCTGTTAAGTCAATCTCAGCCTCCTTGCGCAAGTGATCGCATCATCATTCACTACAGGGACTACATGGGTAATATTTCTCTGTACTTCCCTTTGTAGAGTCTCTCATTTTATAGGATTCTGCTTTCAATAGCCAAGAAATTTGTTTCCACTGCATGGATCAAACACATTTAAGCCTGTATTTTCTTGTTCGCCTCTTCTGTGTCTAGCTCTGCCAGAACCTCCCACACAGCCAATCTTATGAACCTCCCTGTATCTGCTGTTAGATCAAACCTTTTCGATATAGCATGATGTGTATCTTATTTGCCTGCATGGGTGGAGTCAGAAGTAAACATATGTTAATCTACAGGTCTAGTGTACTGTGGACCCGTGGTCAGTAGTTACTCTGTTTTTATGTTGACACTTGAGTTTCTCTATAAATTTTTTTAACTCTGATATTCATGGGATTACAGAATCTTATACATATTGGCACTTAATGATTCTGCATGAAATATAAAAAAAATCCAATCAAGGTCTTCTCTTTTTTCCCTTCCATAGAGTTGGCTTAAATATACCTGAAGCAGTATTACAAGTCCAGCTTACATTTGGCACGATGGCAATTGGCAAATGCCGGAATTCAACTGCACGTTTTCACTTTCCATGCCCATGCAGTATGAAGCGGAAAGTATCTTGAGCATGGCGCTTGGGCGGTGTGGCTCGTTTTTTTTTAAGAATGGTTTCTGCCTTTCTGGTCATGGAAATTTACGATTCACAGAGTTGCTGCCAATCAAGAAGGGTGCTGCCATGCTTCAATGCACAAAATGCTATGTTGGTAAAAACTGGAAGAAAGACTTTGTCTCATTTATCAGATTTATTTGAGAATTATTTAGAGAATTCTATTCCATTTTCTTTCTATTTAGAAAACCTATGGAGTCTCATTGCTTTCTTTCTTTTTTTCAGACATGCTAGCATGGACCACTCATGTTTGGCTTAAACATGGGAAGGAAATTACAACCAGCTGACGGGCCGAAGCATCCATGTCTCCAGCTAGGCTCTCCACAATATGCACAAGAAGCAGAGGACCTTGTCAACTTCAAAGTCATATTGCGCAGTCTATTTGCCGGTTCTGATGGCGGTGAGGGTGACGCAGCCTTGTTCCTAACTTTCTGGATGGTGTCAGCAAAGTGCGCTAGCATGATAGGATTTGATGTCTCGCAGTTTTGTGATGTCAATGGCTATGCTAATCTTAGCCAAGGCTTAGCCTTTGCACAAGCTTAATCAGTTCCTGGAGCTCTTGATCAGCTGCCGTTTCAGCCAAGAAAACATCCACTTTGACAAGAAGCTCCTCTGGTGATGTCAACACATGCGGTGAATCCCCAAACTGACCTGACGATTGGTGGTAACCACACGTCGCCTCCATTGAGGATCAATGAGGCTTCTAGTCTGAGCAATCCTATGAACTCCCTGATGTTCTTCGACGCCTTTTCAAGTGCTTTCACTGTGCTCTCCAGCTTGTCCTCAGCGCTAGAGAAGAGCGCCACCGAAGCGGTGCGGATGCATCATGCCATGCTGGACCACACATTTCTCGTGAAATACAGTGGTAATACCAGCACCATGCTGGTCATCATTGTTCCAGTGAGTGGCTTTGTCTGTTGCATGATGTTTGAACCTGAGAAGCACCTCGTCACCATGGGCGGCAGCCTCCTTGAGCTTCTCCAGCCACTGGACCAGCGTGGTACTTTTTATGGTCTGCTTCGCTCACACCTCGACCGCGCTGCGAATCCTCATGAGGAGCAGCTTCTCATCAGCGGCCATCTGCCAGTTGAAGTTCTACATGAACTTGGACACTGCCCTGTCCTGTCACCACGGCGGCCACTGCTGCGGCAATGGTGGCAACCACTTGTGCCATGGCTAGCTCTCAAACAAGGTATGTGACTAACTAGAGTCTCTCAAATCTATAAATACATATAATTAAGGACTGTTCTGAGTGTCCCCCATCGCAAAATGTAAAATTAAGTAGTCAGTGAGTGTATGAGACTGTGGAAACAACAAGTTATGGACATAGTTGGTGTCAGCCACCCTAAGGTCGACTGACACTAAGAAAAAAAACATGGAATTTGTTCGACGGACACAGCAACACCAAGCTGTCAAAGTATTGCACATCCCAAGACAGCCTGTCCCCAGTACGCACGAAACTGCAGAGATCATCTGCTTCATTATCAGAGCAAGCCGCTGTCTCGTTTCCACCTTTACCTTCGACGTGTGCCAGTGATAGGTGTAGACAACTTTGTTGTTGCCACTATCTACAGCCTCCCACTGGATGGTCACCCACTGTGACGGCCATACGAAGCCTTCCAAGTAGCACCTCTCTGAGCATTCCCACAAGCTTCCTTTGTTCCATTATTAGCATGTCTTCTAATTTAAAGAGAAAATACTTTTTACAATGGATCTAGACTTCCTGTCTTATTATTGAGGTGAGCCGCCTTGACATGATAACAACAAGTTAGCATCTTGAACACATGTATACCAATTTGCCGAAGCATTCCACGTCCCTGGCTAAGCCCTCCATACTATGCACGAAACTGCTGAATTGATCTCTCTCTTGATCTTGATCACATTTCACCATTGGCTCGTTATCTTTGGCTCTCAGTGTTTTGCGAGCGCTGATGGTGCCAAGAACGACACAGCCTTTTATCTTGGCCTCCCTTAGGATGTCAGCCCAGTATGCGAGCCACTTCATGTCCCCAAGGTCGTGGCTATCTGCCAGCTCGACGGTCTTGCAGATATTGGCAAACCCTTCCTCAAGCTTGTCAAGGAGCATTTCACACTGTTCCTTCTGGATAGCTGCCGTTTCATTGATCGAAAGATTGATCAATTTGTTCACTACCGCATCCTCCACGCACGGAGCTGAAATTTTTGTGTCTTCCTCATCTAATTTGAGGCCAAATAATCTGCACCCTGAATTTCTTGTGATCCTCATCTTTTTTCTTGGTCTATGCTCTGTTGTTGGAGCCTCCATACTCTCGGTAGATGTTAGATCTACCTTTGCCCAGTCCTCAAGCTGAAACAATCTTATGAACTCTCTGATTTCTATGGAGAGCTGCTCTAACATGTCCAGTGTACTGTTCAGCTTTTCCATGTCTTTGTCACTCGAAAACAGCACCTGGGTTGCGTCGCGGATGCCCTGCACCATGCCCAACATAGATTTACTTGTGAAAGACAGAGCACCTGTAGCTCTAGCAGAAGCAGCACTAGAAGAAGAGGATGAGCCTTGCTGCTGGTTGGTGTCAACGCCCCTTGTGGCTTCAGCGTCTTCCGCCTTGCGTATGAAGCTGGCAAGCACTTCGTCGCCTTGTGAGGCTGCTTCCTTTAGCTTTTCGCGCCATCGAAGGAGCCACAAATTCTTGATGGTGCGCTTCTCTGACGCCTCAACCGCGCTGTGGATCTTGATTAGCAGCATCTCCAGCCGCTGCAGCTTCTCTCCGGCAGCTGCCTGCTTACCAAACATCTGTATCAGCCCCGACAACACTCTGCTGGTGAGCTCCCCGGTTACAGCAGAGGCCATAGGGTAAACTGTCTGTTCTGCCATGGCCATGGAAATGGAGGAAAGGAGAGAAAGTGTTAGCAACAAGAATGCTAACTTGTGCTCATAGGTTGTATCACCTTTATAAGGACCTGTACTGTACAAGAAACCAAAAAAAAAGTAACAGAATTTTTGGCTGTGGATAGTTTGTCTGGTTAGAGGCCTACATGGCGGAAAAAAAAGTCCTGCAAGATATTTTTTTTGAATGATCCGGCAAATGCTGGCTTTGACGTATTAGCACATAGCAAAAGGATAAAAGATCAGAGTAAAGGAAATAAACTTTGAATAAAAGGACAGAGCCCAGAGAAAGTCTGGTTCAGGGCAACTCCCAGATGATCGGCATCAGGCCCACCCGCCAGCCGCCAGAGCTCAGCCAATCACCTAATGGCCAGGATAACCTGAGTCGACGAGAGCTACTTGTCATTGAAAATCCTCCGATTATTTCAAGCCAGAGCTCCCATGAAACGAGAATGAAAAGCGACTTGTTTCCTTTGATGCACATACTGCCAGAATTACTAATAGCTTGAGACGGGACAAAGATAGTAGTTAGGCCATCCCCTCCGCATCAGCCTGTCGGCGCACCACAGCCAGTCCTCAAACAGCAAGGTCTCTAAGATTAGCTTGCACTTAATTTGTATCATCCATGTACCGTTGTTACAGGTCAAATGGATTACACTTCACAGAACAAAGTTTGCTAATGAAAATACGAATTCTGAGGTATAAACTACGAATTCTGAGGTATAAACTCGAGTATCATAGCATGCCAAGAGCTTGAGAAGTTTTATTAATCTGTAATGAAAACACAAACTCGTTTTGGTCGTAAAAGGTGATCGAACCAGCCAGAGACACTGAATTCACAGAAGCACAACATTAACAGTTCTATGCGCAACAATAAATGTCGGCACCAATCTGAGTTCAGACACCATGTTAATGCGATCTTTAGATCCAAGACCTTAACCTTCTCCAAGGCTGTGCGGCGCACAGATATAGTAGGCAGACCTTTTGATCCAGCTGAAGACTCACGAGAAGTTATCGGCAGATGGCAGGGTGTTCGTTCTTAGAATGCTGTTTACCTATAGGACCCCACAATCTGCCGGTAGCTTCTTGTGCGTCGATAGCTGCATTGCTCCTTGGTAACCAATCATTGCAGAACGAAAGAACCACTTGATATGGCTCAGGAAATGGCATGCATGTAATTTATTCAAGAAAAAAAGGGCATTTCTCAGCTAAAAAAAGAGGTGTTTTTGGAGTTGTAGCTTGCAACCACTCCTTGGTAGTTATTTGTGTGGTGATCTTACAGGAGAAGGTAAGATGATAAATTGTAAATGAAAAGGACATGTAAAATGACTACGGAGAAAACATACCAAGGTATTTATTCAAGGAAAAAAAATCAAGAGATAAGTTAGAAATGAAAGGCAACTTAGTTGCTGTCACCATTGTTTTAATCGCTCTGAGGCCAGAGAATTTTTTTTTAGAAACAAACAAATGATGTGTGGTTGATATCTGTATTAGAATTGAAAGGAATCTTTACAGCTTGCACATTCTCAACAATAGAAAGGATAGTTAGGTAAGCCCTATTGATGACTCAGTAGAAGCGGGAATATATAGTCAAACATGCAACGTGATTTGCAAATGCATGAAAATTGGGCTTATAAACGTGCAAAAGTTCTAAAATAGTTAGGGAATGCGTATTGTGTATCCATATAAAAATTTCAAGACCAAAATCAATCAACCTTTTAATAGGGAACATATATTTTTTTCAATACCTATACTGTAACAGCTTTAATCAGAAAATATTACAAAGTTACAATCCAGAAAAAAGGAAAAATCTCAGAAGTGTTTCCCTTTCGATGCTTCCTACCATCTTGGTTCCCAAACGCCTCAACTGCGCTGTGGATCTTTGATTAGCAGCATCTCCAACCGCTGCAGCTTCTCTCCGACAACTTCCTGCTTACTGAACATATGTATCAGCCCCTAGAACACTCTGCTGGTGAACTCCCTGGTTACAGCAGAGGCCATAAATAAACTTAAACTGTATGTTCTGCGATGGCTACAAACTCATGTCATAGATTTTATCAATCTTACAAGGACCTACTGTACAAGAAACATAAAAAAAAAGTAACAGAAGTTTTGGCTAGATAGTTTAGACTTCAGAGAGAAAGGCTTGCAAGATTAGCTGCGCTTATTTTATACCATCTTCATACCTTTCTTGTTACAGGTCCAATGATATGCACTTAGTATGCAGGAGTTACAGAACGAAGTTCATTAACCAAAATATGGTTCTGAGTTATAAACTCTAGTATCATAGCATGCTAAGTGCTCGAGAAGGTCTATTAATCTGTAATAAAAACACAAACTCATTTTGCTTATCAAAGATGATAAACCACAAATAAAGGTCAGCACAATCTGAGTTCAGACATCATGTTAATATGATATTTAGATCCAAGATCCTCACTTTCACCAAGGCTTTCCAGCACAAACAAATTAGAGAAACCCTTTGATCCAGCTGAAGACTTACGAGAAGTCATCGGCAGATGGCAGGGTGTTCTTGGAATGATATTTTTATCTCCAGACCCCCGCAATCTGCCGGTAACTTCTCGTGCGTCGACAGCTGCATTGCTCTTGATAACCAATCACCTCAGAACTAAAGAACCAGGCTCAAGAAATGGCATGGAATTTATTCAAGAGAACATATATGGGCGCCTGTCAGCTCAAAGGAAGAGGTGCTGTGTTGGAGGTGTAGCTTGCGATCACTCCTCGGTGGCTATTTGTGTGGTGATCTTATGGAAAGGGTGAGATAATGAAATAGTAAACGAAAAGGACAGCTAAAAATGAATATGGAGAAAAGAGACCATGAGACTCTGTGAACTACAAACAAAGAGATAAGTTAGAAAGAAAAGACAACTTAGTTGCTGTCACCATTGTTTTAATCGCGCTGAATGCTGGAGACAAAAGTTGGAAACAAACAAATTACGTATGGTTGGTATCTGCATTAAAACTGAAAGGCATCTTTACAGTTTACACATTCTCAAGAATAAAAAGGACCATAGGTAGGTCTTTTTGATGATTCAGCACAAGATTTGGATATTTGGAGATCTTGGCAACTGTTGTTTCAGGGAGGGAATATATGGTTAAACATGCCACAGTTGATGCAAATCCGTGAAAGTTGGGTTACAAACATTTAAAAGTTCTAAAAGTAGCTACAAAATGCATATTTGTATCCACATACCATTTCAAAACAAAAATCAATCAAATTTAACAGGGAGCATAAATTGCTTCAGTATCAAATTTGTAAACTGTAACAGCTGTAATCAGAAAGCAAGACAAAGTTACACAACCCAGAATGGAAAGAACTCACAGCATTGGCACTGCCACCCAAAACTATGTGGGGTCAACTCAAGCTAACCCTTCAAACTTTGTTGAAGTATCAAAAGGATGGAGGTATTTTTAGCAAAATCTACATCTTGTACATGGAATTGCTGCTGTCTCACAGGCCCTGCCCTTTTACGCTCACTATAACCTTCATGGAGTCAAGTATACAGTCATGTGTTCTCTTCCTGCTCGAATGTTGATGTGCTTCCTTTTGTGATGCGTGAGCATTCTTCTCCCCATTCAAAACCTCAAGCTTAATGGATCTCGTGAACTGATTATCTGCCGATAGCTTCTCCAACATCTCTGGTTTCTTCTCTTTTGCAAGCTCAACCGATCTCAAGAACACCTGATTATCTGCTGATGGCTTCTCCAACATCTCCAGTTTCTTCCTTTTTGCAGGAGCATGCTTCTCTACTGTCGAAACCTGAAGCTCAACCAATACTGAGAACACCTGATTATCTGCCGATAGCTTCTCCAACATTTCCACTGTGCTGTTTAATTTCTGCACATCCTTGTTGGTTGAGAGCAGCATATTGGCAGCACTGTGGAAGTACTTTATAATACTTGACACAGCAATCTTTGTGTAAGCTAGAGGACCAAGTGTACCTATATTATGGTTGATGCTCTTGCTGGCTTTGGTCAAGGCTCGCCACCGGAAGTCGAAAAGTACCTCATCACCCTCTATGCCAGCTTCCTTCAGTTTCTCCTGCCACTTGAGTAGATTGGTCCCGGTGATTTCGTGCTTCTTAGATGCTTCAACTGCACTGTTGATCTTTATGCACAGCATGTCCAGCTTGCGCAGCTTGTCATCGATAGCTGTCTGCTTGTTGATCATTCCAATTACCTTGGAGATGGCCCTTCTTGTGATCTCGTTGATCACTACAGAGCCAACTTGTCCTGCCATTGCTTAATGAGCTTGTATGTATAGCTAGATCAGACTAAAGGATGAGAAGGGATTATACTGGATAGTGGATATATAGCAGTGGTCAGCTGTTTAATAATCCCCTAGAGTTTTAATTTATGATAAGCCAATTGTAGTGATACAAGGAAACAGAAATGAATGGAGAAAAAGAGGTGACCTGTGGCATAGTTTCTGCCATCCACTTACCACCCTAGAGATATTCACTGAGACTGAAAATTGATTGGGAGTAAGAGGCCTTGCTTGCATAGTTTGTGTCGGCCAAGGTGGAATGGATGAAATGGGGTTGGGGAATTCGCGCAGACAGCTTAGTTACACTAGATTATGCAGGAAATGTCAAGAACCAACCAAAGTATTCTCTTCTATTCCCTACATAGAGTCAGGGCAAAAATATTCCAGAGTCAGCATTACAAGTCAAGTATTACATTTGGCACCAACACCTTGGCAAGTGCCGGAATTCCAGTCCACATGTTCAGTTTCTAATGCATATGCAGTATGAAACAGGAAGTATCTTTAGCATGGTCCTTTACCGGTGTGACTCAGTTTCTTTAAGGTTGGTTTCTGGTCATGGAATCTGTGATTCACAGGTTGGTTTCAACCAAGAAGGGTGCTGCTGCCATGCTTCAGCGGGCAAAAAGGCCACGTTAGGAACATGAGGTTGAAGAAGAAAGTGGTCGTCCCATTTCTCCACATTTATTT